GATCACCGATATCGACTACCACCACCACCAAGCCCGCGACCCACCTGGTTGACCTGTGAGTTCAGGTTTGGCGCGGGTGGCACCCTTGCTTGGGCTCGGCCAAGCGTGGCTTGGGTCCGACCCCCTCCAAATTGGGGAGGTGCCAAGCGAGGGTTGAATCTGAGCCAAGTTGGGTTTAAAGTGCGCCACGCGCGCTTGGGAATCGGCCAAGCCCGCTTGGCCCCTTTTTTGCCCAACTTGGGCCTGTGCCCAGACCCGCTTGCAACACCATATATGTTCCTCGTTTGGACTGATTGCGTGCTGAAAGAACCGTTCTGCAAGGCCATCTCGCAGTAAGTAGTGCAATGATGGGCCATCCACGTTGTTATAGTTGGTAATGCAAACTGCATGTTCCCTGGCGCTGTAATCGACCTTCAAACCCCTGTGTGCGAAATCAATCGGCGATTGGTGCTTGCGATGAGATTCGGTTGCATCGGTCCACCGATTTTCCCTTAGCTCTCGTTGCACTCTTTCCTAATGAACAACGAGCTTTGAGGAGATGTATAAGTTAGTATCTTAAGGATACGACTTATAGAAGACAGCAACGATGAGAACCAACCTTTGAGGAGATGTATAAGTTAGTATCTTAAGGATACGACTTATAGAAGACAGCGACGATGAGAACCAACCTGAGTAACGATGTTGATGGTTAGTGAGTTGTTAATCAGAAACAATTTAGTTGATTGCAATTCTTTTAATACACACCTTTGAGGAGATGTATAAGTTAGTATCTTAAGGATACGACTTATAGAAGACAGCGACGATGAGAACCAACCTGAACACGATGAGAACAAAGAAGGTTAAACTCTTGAACAACAATAACATGAAGAGAAAGAAATACGAACCTGAGTAACGATGTTGATGGTTAGTGAGTTGTTAATCAGAAACAATTTAGTTGATTGAAGAAAGAACCGATACAATAAGGGTCTTAGTTAAACGACTCCCAAATATTGGAGTTCCGACTCCCAAATATTTGGGACGTCACTAAGACCCCCTGCGGACGGTCCGCAGGCCGTCCATCCCCGGAGATGGGAGTCGGACCTCCCAAACCTTCAACAGGTTTGGGAGTCGATCATCCCAAAAAAAAATAAAAATAAAAGATAAAAAAAATAAAAAAACCCGGGGGTTTTTGGGAGTCGATCTTCAAAAACCCCCAGGGAGGTGGCGAGTCGGCGCCGGACTCTCAGCGGCGGA